TTTTAACCATTTTGCAACATCTTTTCCTGATGTAACACCGTCATAAGTTTTTAAAACCAATGGACACAATTTTATTTTACCATTATATAAATACCTCATTTCAATTGAATAAACATCTTTGTGTTTTTTCTTAAAAGATGAGTCAACCCCAATAGCAACACAATCAACTTTATGTTCCATTATTTGATTCAAATTTTCAAGGAAATGTGTATTTTCGCGTGTCATTTGCCTTTTAGCTGTTCTATAATCTATATTTAAACATTCAACGTCTCGTCTTTTATCTTTGATGATATAAGATACCGCTACATCAATTATAGTTTTTACCATTTTAGTTTGATTTTGCGAAAAATGCGCCTCAATTCCAAGGGAATTGATAATATATGAAGTGACATGATTCATTCTATGTTCAATGATATTCCTATCTTTATAAGTCCTTGATTGTTTAGTATCAAATACGAACCAAAAAGAACTAACAAATCGATCAACTGAAAAGTGTCATTAACCCAACAAAATTGCCTTATTTTTCAGCTATATTTATGGGATCTTTGGTTAATATATCCAATAAAATTGTTTCGGTAAATTTATTTTTAACAAGTTCGTTTATTTGATCGATTGTTTCATGTTGTAGTGTAGTTTTAGGAAGTGTAGTATCTATTAATATATTTTCTGATGTCTCTTCGGATTCCTCAAATATTCTTCAAGAGAATTGTCATCACTTTCAGATGTATTTGATGATAATACATCACTGTTTTCTTGGACATAAGAATATTCGTTTTCAACATTCAGTGTATTCGTAATATGTATAGGATTTAGTCTTGATATGTTTTCATTATCCGAGTTTAATGAATTTCTAAAAATCAAAGGAAGTGCCGGTGGTATATTATATTGTGTTGCTTTTTTGACAATCAATGACAACCAATATTTGTTTGACTTAAGTTTATTAAAAAATAAAAATACAATTTTTTTCTTTTGTAATTTGTGATCAGGAGTTTTAATAAAATAAATACACACATTAGAATCATTTTGTTCATCAATAAAAGTAGAGTACAATTGGATAATTTCATTTTCGTTTAGAATAACCGGTTCTTCATTGAGTTCTTTTGGGAAACTTTCACCATATAATGGTTGAAAACATGTTCTGAGTTTGTTATGAACATCGGATTCATGACTTTTACATGATGAAAAAAGCATCCACAATTCATCTCTCAAACAAAAAGAAAACTCAACACCTTGATATTTGGCTAATAAATATCCTTTTTTAAAATAATTAAAAGAATTTACATCGAAAATCAAATCGTTTGGATTGCTCATTGTGTTTTGTTTTTTAAGATAGTTAATTTTTATAAGGAAATTGAAATAATGAAAACATATGAAATTTAAATGTTATGTAATTGTTTATTTACAATGTTTTATAATTATATTATTATGTATTAAATTGCAATATATAATATTTATTTATCACAACATTAATGTTTTAATGTTGACGACATTCAATAGATACTAAATGGATTTTTTTAATATATTATATTATTTTGGTTTTATAATTATAAAATGAATCCTTCCACACACAAAAACGATAAAAATAAATAGAAATACGTAAACACAATAATCATATTATCATCGAAGACTATTGAGATATATACATACACAAATTGTTTTGTTTTTCGTTGCAATAGTTTGTTTGAAAGTACAGTTACGATTATCAAATGAAATGATATGATATTTACATACATACATGTATGTATATTGTACATTATAAACTGTTTTCCAAAAGTCGGTACCGAAATTACCCCAATATTTGCTAAATAAACAACCCATTTTTTTTCTTTTCTTTTACCTCTGTTTTTTATTCATTTTTCTTCGTCTTATTTTTCAAATAACTGTCTTCCACTTTTATCTTTTCTCGAACAAACAAAATATTCGCATTATTTTTCCCTCCAAATTTCTAAATAACTTTCTTCAACGAAAAAAAGACTTGACAAAATAATCGATTTTGCCGAAAAGTTAGAAACATTAATTTTGAAACCCAAAACAATTTGAATAACAAAAAAAACTAAATAATCATGTCTAAACCAAGAAAAAGTTATGAACGCGAGCAAGAAGGAAAGAATGAGAGGGTCAAGATGGCTTTGGAAAGAGGACTGTCATATCGCGAGATCCAACTGCTTTGTGGAGTTTCCAAAACAAAAATAGCTAGTATCAAAAGGGGAGAGGAGACAAAGCCAAAGAAGATGGGAAGACCAAAAAACATCAGTGTTAATGTTGCTCAAAGTGTTGTCACACGAACATTAACTAACCCATCTTCTTCTTGTCTTATGGTTTCCAACGATGTTAAAGTTTCTCTTTCAAGTGTCTATCGTCTTAGAAAAGAGAACAAATTTGTGTTTGCAAAGCAGAAAAAAATGCCGGCTCTGAAACCATTACACATAACAAAAAGACTTATTTTTGTTAAGAAACAGCTGGCAAACGCAAAGCGTATTTTGACATGGACCAAAAACACTCTCATTTCCGACGAGAGTCGTTTTTGTTTATACTCTGACGGAAAATATGTTTGGAGAAGACGTGGAGATCTTGATAAGGAGGCGTTTGTGCCAACTCCCAAGTTCAATCGGGGTGTGATGGTGTGGGCAGCAATTGGGAGTCATTTCAAGTCAAAACTCGTTTTCGTCGACGGAACACTGAACGCGGTAAACTATCAAAAAATGTTGGCCGAATCAAGAGTGTTTGAAAACGCGAAGAAGGTGTACAAACACGGGATGGTGTTTCAACAAGATGGTGCAAGACCCCACACAGCGAAAAACACAATTGAATGGTTTGAAGGCTTGGACCCGAAGCTCATGGTTCGACTACTGAAAGAATGGCCTGCAAATAGCCCCGACCTCAGCCCAATTGAACACTTATGGCAATACTTGGACACCTTAGTAAGAAAAGAAAAGGAAATCTTCGAGAACATTGAAGAACTCAAAGAGGCTCTTGAAAGGGCTTGGGATTCAATACCTCTTGAGACAATTGATAACTACATAATGTCGATTCCAAAGAGGTTTGAATTGTGCAAGGAAAACAACGGCGAATTTATCGGACACTTGCTTTAATCCGTTATCAATTTTTTTTATTTTTTTCTTTTTGAACTCGTTTTATCATTTCTTTGTTCGTCTTCAGAGGATGTTTGTTTGTTTTTTTTATATGTATTCAAATTGTTTTCATTATTTTGACTCGAAAAGAAATAACTGTCTTAGAAAAATTGCAAAAGACTTCCCAACGTTTCGACAAATGCCCGAAAAATTACGAAAATAATATAATTTGTTTGTTTTTTTAGGTCAAAAAAGTCGGTACCGTTTTTTGTTTTTTTTAAAAGATAAATAATAAAACAAAGTCTTTAATAACAATAAAACGGGAAAACAGCTAATAATAGTTTCTCAATTTTTAGCGGTAGTACTTACTTTTGAAATACAGTTTATTATATTAAAAACAAGAAAATTAATAAAACATCATGTTATTTTAAAATATATTAAATTGATAGTTGTCATAATGTATAAAAAACATGACAAACAATCAACTGCAGATAAGTATTTATGACTTAATGATATGATATTTAAACACACTTGTTTATTAAAAATAAAAACAACAAAATTATGAAAAATGTGATTATTGTATAATCATAAAATACAATAAAAAGCGAAAATTGGAAATAATATTTATTCCTTATAACAGTATTGTAAAAATGTATGTATTTTATTTATATGTATGGATGTTAAAAATTGATATCATGGTACAATTTAAAATTAAAATATACATACGAAAAATGAACTATGTGTCGTATTAAAAAGTGAGTTGTGACAAATTGAAACAAATATGGTTCAAAATTCCAATTAGACTTAAAGTTATTGAAAAGTATTAAATAGATTTAGTGGTAATCTTACATAACACATACTTATAAAAGTGTATTCACAAAAATGAACAATTTATGTGTTGTGATTCAAAATGATATATATAAACAGAAAACAAAATATTTGGTATTATTCAATTAACAATAAAAAGTGAACTACATACAAGTAAAAATTGATATAGTTGATATACAAATTAACACATTTAATGTTTAATTGTGAATACAACAAATGAAAGATAATATAAATCAAATAAATATTTGATTTATATTGTTTTGTTACAAAATATAACAAAAACGTAAATACTTATAACGAGAAAACGAGAAAACGAGAAAACGAGAAAACGAGAAAACGAGAAAACGAGAAAACGAGAAAACGAGAAAACGAGAAAACGAGAAAACGAGAAAACGAGAAAACGAGAAAACGAGAAAACGAGAAAACGAGAAAACGAGAAAACGAGAAAACGAGAAAACGAGAAAACGAGAAAACGAGAAAACGAGAAAACGAGAAAACGAGAAAACGAGAAAACGAGAAAACGAGAAAACGAGAAAACGAGAAAACGAGAAAACGAGAAAACGAGAAAACGAGAAAACGAGAAAACGAGAAAACGAGAAAACGAGAAAACGAGAAAACGAGAAAACGAGAAAACGAGAAAACGAGAAAACGAGAAAACGAGAAAACGAGAAAACGAGAAAACGAGAAAACGAGAAAACGAGAAAACGAGAAAACGAGAAAACGAGAAAACGAGAAAACGAGAAAACGAGAAAACGAGAAAACGAGAAAACGAGAAAACGAGAAAACGAGAAAACGAGAAAACGAGAAAACGAGAAAACGAGAAAACGAGAAAACGAGAAAACGAGAAAATTATATTAAATAATTGAATTGTTGTTATTTTAAATAGTTTAATATTGTTAATATATATAATTTTTATATTACATATCTAATAAATAACAATATTGTTTAAATGTTATTTATTTATAACAAACTTTATATAATTATAAATGTGGAGAGTTAACAATTTATATAGTTTCTTCATATCTATTAATAACAGAACTTCTGGGGAGTTATAAATATATATATTTGCCGATTTTTTTCTTCGAGTAAAAAAGTACCAAAATGCCACACTATGACTTTAAATTCAGAGAATGTAACGAGGAAATACTATGTCACATGTTTAATAATCGACCATTTAGGGGTTCTCACTGCTCGTATTGTAACAATTGTGTTGACAAATTTGATCATCATTGCCCTTGGTTTGTTTCAATATAAAACTATTTAAATCAGTCGATAGAGAGTATACTATATATAGTAGTTTATATTAATAATTATAAGTATAATAAATTAATAGTAGAAGTATAATAACTTATAAGAAGGAATTACAGGTCGTACTTCTTCCTTCTTTTTTGGAGTTTAATGTATTTGGCGTATATCATGGCGTGTTCTTTGGCGGGAATTTTAGTTCCAATTGAAAATCCATGGAGCTGGAAGGCGTTTTTGAAGTCTTGGAAATCGTAATACTTCTTAGAGTTTGTTATTACTATATATTTAGTATTTTAAACTATATAGTATGTTTAGAATATATAGTATATTTACTAATATAAAAACTATTCAATCAAATTACACAAAGACCCTTCATTTTCCTCTATTGCTTCGTCTGTTTTGGTTTAATTATCTATTTGTTCACTCGACACGTCATCCAATAATTTTTGGTCAAACAACAAACGACAAAATAAAGAAATTCCACGCTTACGACATGGGCTTTATTAAAAATTGGACGGACTTCTTGTTCAGTCCAATTCCACCACCATTTCCACTCCTTAAATCAAAACCAAAGAAAGCAAAACAAGCAAAAATGACTCAAGAATACACGCCAGTTTAAATGGAACTTCAAACACCTCCAAACGGCGTCGATATTAAAATAGAAAAATGAACAGAAAAGTATTCTAGTAAATTAAACTATAAATAATAAGTTCTTTTTTTAACAAACACCGAATAGTTTTTTTAATTAAATTAATCAAATTATTAATAAAAAACTTACAAAAAACAATTAAAAGTTAACTATACAAAAATAGTAAATTAAACTATTTAAAAACCAGTAGCTCTTTCTTGATTGATGAATAACAGACAGACAACATCTTAGTTCTTTTCTTCTCGGGTATTGCTTCTCTTGTTGGACAAGTTAATTTTGAACTGGAAGTAATTGGGGAAGTTCACTGGCTGTTTTACAAATATCGAGGAGTCAGTCACATTCAGTTCCTTTAGCCCACTTTGGTAACACGTATTTGTTGACAGTCCCTATTACCGTCTTTTTTCGAGGGTTTAACATCTTCATTCCTGATACACTGATAAAGGTCTGCTCTGTACTGGCTACACTCCCAACGCCTTCGGAATCCATCTCGACCCCCTGATCATTGTTGACGACTGTTTCAGGTAATTCGACTTTTTTGGCACTTTGAATTGCTTTTGTCCGTTTGTCGAGGATGTTTGTCTGTTTGTCGACACGGGTGAGGATCTGGCTGAGGATCTCACAGCGCATCGAGAGCCAATCCTCTGTCGCAAAGGTCTTAAATTTGCGACATGTCACATTCAACGCGTTTAATAAACTCTTTTGCTCATCGACAAAGATAGAAGTATCAATTCCCCCCATCACGACATAGAGGACAGAATAGAACTTCTTGAAACGCAGTTTGGTGGAGGTGAGAACTTCACTCTTGACAGTTGGAAGTGACAACAAACCCATTCCAGTCAATGTATTTTCAAAGCAAAGCAAAGCATTTGGCAATTTGAAATACCGCCACACAATGATCATCTCGATCGTGTCAGTAATGATCACTACAAAAAATTACGAAAACCCCCGACAAAGTCGTTTTGAAGCGACGAGAAGGGTGCAAAGTCGAAATATCAATTAAGCCACTTTGCTCGACACATATTCAAGACAAATTGCAAATTGTCGTCGACAACGCGTTTAATGGGAAACGAACAATTGAAACACTGAGCATGGAAAACGTGATGGAAGTAACAACAAGTCTCGACTCTTCATTAGTCAAAGAAGAGAGTTATTTGGGTGTAGTTTGGTATCGTTTATAAATGGACTTTCTTGTATATTTATATATAAATTTATATTTATATATTATAGACTGATCGTGCAATACCGTTGCAATCAAAAGGATGAAAGAGTTGACAAAATTGCTTGACATAATCGACGAATTTGAGAAGGGAGTTGCGATGCTGGACAAATTCAGAAACGTAAATATAGTGCACTTTTTTAACAAACAAAATAAAGATAAAAACATGTTTAAATGCTTCAAGAGGGATTTTGTATGTATTCATTAATGGGATCTTCCATCGTAACATTAAACCAGATAACATCCTCATTTTTTCGTTTGAAGAGAATGTCATTGCAAACGGCAAATTGATGGATATTTGATCGAGTCGAAATATCAACAGTTTGATGGAAAATATAACAATCAAACTAAAGTACTAAATATGTTGGTACTCCTATTTATATGCCCCAGAAGTACTTCTTAAGTTCAAATACAAAACACCGGCAGATATGTATTCGTTTGGAGCGAGTATGTACGAGTGTTTCATATGGCAAAGACCATTTTAGATAAAAAATTTAAGCATCCATGGAACATAGTTAAATGTGTCACCAGTGGTGAATGTATTCCACAAACATATATACATGAGATATATGTTATATATATATAAAAATGGAAACTATAGACACTGCGACGTACGATTTAATTAATGACTTGTGGTAGCAAAGTGCTTTAGAACGACCCGAGATGAAAGAAGTGGTTGAGAGACTTGAGAAGATGTTTGTAACGATGTAATTCACTGGTTTTACTGTTACAATAATGTCAAAGCTATATCAATAAAATGTCACTTGACCAATACCAAGCCAATTTCTATGTATTTATTTATTTTTTATCAACAAAGAGATTGAACGTGGAAAGGTGGGAATAGACCATATTACGACATTATAACGCTCATGTTGTTATACGGTAGTTCACTTTTAAACACATGGACGTCCGTGGTGACGTTTTTATGAGAAGAAATCATTGTTTGCAGCTTTTGAGTGAATTCTTGCATATAGGCATTTCCTCCACACAACATTATATTGTTGTATAACTTTGGTCTGTCTTTATCTTTGTTATTCTTGATAAGGGTAATCACTTCGTCTAAACCCCTTTCCCTTCTTTAAAGGCGATTTTGGGGTCAAATAAAATTAATGGCGCTTGAAGTCTCTCATCGCCAAATGCAATTTTATCGTTGTCGGGATGAACAAACTCAACTTGAATGTGTTTTTGGTACTTCCCTCTTTACTCTTCAAAGCTACAGATCTCTAGTTTGATGTTGTGAGCTATTTATAACGCAGTAAAATTCAAAATTATAGTATTAGTAATTGCCACAATTATTAAAGTAGTTTATATACTGGTGATGAAAAAGAATTCTATATTTAGACTAAATGAGGATGGGAAAAGTTTGCCCTAAAATTTATTTTTGGTACCCGAAAACTAGATAATTTATATCCAGATTTTTTAAAAATAATAAAAATGGGTGCATTTTTTATTAATGTATATATTTTTTATTTTACAACTTTTAATTATGTCGATAATTGTTGTGTATTTTATTGAAAATAATAAAATTTAAAAAAAACTAAACATATATATATATATGTATAACGATTAAAAAATATTTTTTTTATTTTGCAAATACATCAATTTCTACTCGAAAAAACTTTAAATAACACAATAAAAAAATAAAAATAAAGTATAATATCATTATAATTATCTCTGTTATATTAAAACTGTGATATGTATGATTAAATTTTAATTTTATAATAATTAATTACAATTTATATATAAAATTTTGTAATATTTATTCAGCAATTTTTATATTTGTTAATGATTATTAATTTTTTATTCTGAATGATTTTTGATAATAATTTAAATTATTATAATTTAAAATTTAATAATTCAATTCAACTACTTATTATTTGGTTGGAAATAAAATTTATTTTGAATGAGATTTATTCGAAATGAATTAAAAACAAATAAACTCTATTAACATACAATGGAAAACGAGTTGACAGCACTCTCAGCACTCTGCACAAACGCAACAAAGGCGGTGTCAGACCTCAACAAATTAAAAAAAGAATACAACTTTGTTGACAACAAGTCACTTGATATTGAACAACGCATTGAAAATGCAGATGGACACTTTGGCAGACTTGATGAAATGTTTGAAAGAAAAAAAATATCATTACAGCATCACTCAACACGATTGTCACCGATATAGATAACACGTCCAACGAAATCAAAAACGAGTTAACTCGTACTCCACAAAGTGAGACAACGAGAAGTTGTATGAGATATTTAATATCAGAATATCACTACTTGAAGAAAAGTGCCAAATGAATATAAAATTATCAAAAGATACAGATGAAATCAACAAAATCATTCAAATTAAAAACACTAGAATTGATCAAATAGTCAAAACGGAGAAATATATTAATTTAAAAAAACAACATGACGAAGAAGAAGAAAGAATGAAGTGCGAACAAGTCACACGTAAAGAAATAGAAAGTCTTGAAAAATTGGCAGGAACGAAGATCACACGTGTTGTGTTTGACTCGGACAAAGACGATTGGTCACAAAACTATTCAGTTTTTGATGATAAAACCATAAACAGAAGCAACTTGTGCTTTTTAATAGAAGACACAAATCACAACAAGTTTGGTGGCATGTACACAGGCAAAATTAATGCTGTTGGCAATTTTATTAGCAGTGACAGTTCTTACATTTTTTCACTTGTGAGAAGTGGCACTTTAAATCCAAGAAAGTTTGAAAAGACTGGGATTAATTCTGATTTTGAATTTTTTCTTAGTTCTGAATTCTGTCCACGTCTATTTGGATTTGGTTACGGTTGTGATATACGTGTGTATAAAAAAGGTGTTAATGGTAGTTATTGCAACCCAAACACTTACACCGCCAAACCAAACGAGTTGACTGATAATGAAGAATTCACACCAAAGAGTGTTGTTGTTTTCCAACTTAAATGACTTGTTTGTCGCTTTTTGTTTCGTTTTCATTTTAAATATTAGCAACAAGTGACGGAAAAGTGTCATTAATGTATTTTACCACGTCGCCACAATTTGAATCAATGTACAACAAGTTTTAAAAAAATGAACAATTTTTTGAATGGCAGGATAGATGGAATGAAAGAATGGGAACGTTTTACCCCTCAAACCTAAAAGTGGAACGAACACTTGATTAAAACTTTTTTGATGTTTTTGGTTATTTCGGGCATCTCATCTCTGTGTTTTGTATCTTCTTCAAAAAATAAATTCACCAAGGGGCAACTCGCCAAGTTTAACAAGTTTTGACAGTTGCAGCATATCTACTTTTTGTGTCCTGTTGTATCTTTCTGAAGTATGTTAATTGAAAAGTAGTTTGGTATTTTTATCAATTATGGGTTTTTTTAAATTATAATAAATTATATTAATTGGATATCATAACTATATAAAATAATCAGACAAATAAAGTTGTCTGATTATTTAAATTGAGAGAAAGTTCTGCTAGATAAGATTATTTTTTATTAAAAAATATTTATAATTGGTTTTTATTAATATTTTTATCAAATATTAATAAATTTTGAAAATAAATGTAAAATATAAAGTATCAACTGCCAGAATGAATTGTGAAAGTGTCTTTCTTAACAGTTTTATTTGATTGGTTTGTAAACGTTTAATTATTTTTATTTGAATACATCGATAAACATTTAAAAGGTTAGTTTTCTCTTTAAGTGGTCAATAGTCAAATAGTTAAACAACAAAATTAAAACAAACACAAAATACATAGTAATTTATAATTTTTATGGATAAAAGTGTCATCACCACACTATTATTCAAAGTGATCTCTTTTGAATCTTTCTTTTCGACTTCGCAGTAATTCCAAATTGTTTGTCCAAATCTTTTTATCATCTCTTTGTCCATAACAGACCCATCAGGAAGTATAATGAATACATTCCCACCAATCCCCTCCCGATTCTCTGTGTCATACATCACAACAAATCCATCTTCAAAAAGAATGTCTTCCAAAAGATGAATGCACTCCCGCTTCTTTTGACTTCTCACTTTTTGCAGAACCCATTTTCCACTTGAATTCTTCTTGTTGTAACTGGACATCCGTTCTTGTGCTCGTTTGGCAAGAAAACTCTGAACATTGAACACAAAAGAATACTCATCGTTGTCAAAAAAACACCTTTTGAATGCCGATGAATTTGTTGGAGTATTTACTCGGCTTCTTGAGGTGTCCAACAACAACACGTCTATTCATTGATATGAAAGCAAGCAGAGAGCACTGAAGATATGATAGCTGTGTCCGCTCATTTATACATTTGATCTTCTCGCTAACATATGATAATGTTTCCATTGTTTTTGAAGATGGATAATACACATTTATATATTTATTGATGAAGATAATAATACACAATAAACTACCCAATTGATATTCACCAAAAAAAATATTTGACAATATTAAAATAAATATGTAATAAAAATTTAATAAAACAACTATTGGTTTTAATATTTGATTTTGATTTTTATATTTTTATTTTTGTGTTGCTGGATAACACAGGAATTATAAAAATTGTCTTATGTTCTGTCTGCATAAAAACAGTCCAAACTCCGGGAAACGCACCAAATATATAATTAAGTTTAGAATCAATTTTAAT